TCATCCGTCCAAGCAGCAATAGATGGATATAAGACCGCATTTATGGTGCTGAACAACACCCTGGGTTTATGACAATTATTCACAATAAGCCTGGAAAAGTATTGAGCTCTAGCACTCTTGACAGCACTTTGATAATCTCTTAATCGGTTTTTAAAATATCCAACGAAATCTGAAGATAATCTTTTTTTTTTTTTTTTTTTTTTTTTTCCCCCCCACCCCCCCCACACAAAAAGTTTAAGTGAATGAGTGTTTTCATTTAAGCCAAGGTTCCGACTTCTGGCTCATTTATTCCTTATTGCACTGCTTTTTATGGACCACCAGATGGCACTCCACCATTGTATCATTGACTCAGCACTTTGAGCTCCCCATGACTTCTATTGTAAACAAAAAGCTGAATAAATAAAAAAGTATAAACTTTGTAAAAAAGAAAAATACAAGCAGGACTGTCCTTGTGAAGAGCTGAGCAGTTTTATACCAGCATGGCCTGTATAGCTGAAAGTATGCTGGACTTATAAAGTGCCAAAAAACGGACAGAAGATCCCAGAATAATCAGGAGAACATACTATAGATGCTTGACAGCATTCACACAATTTGAAGGCCTATGAGAATCCAAGTGACAGATACCTCTGCAGCAGGCTACAGTAGGTCAGCTGAGTTCAGTTAGCCTACATTCTCGTAAATGGGTCATTCATATTTTAATGGTAATTGTAAAATTGAAATGTTCATATTTGGTTGTTTATGAACACCACATTTATAAAGCACGACACCCAGACACTTCACCTCATCTGTCCCTCTCTGAGCTATATCTTCTGTCTCTAATCCATGTTCCCACTATGGAGCTGACAGAGAAAGATGTAAAATGCAGCATCTGTCAAAGTCTGTAGCTAGGCTACACCCCGGCATTGATTTATGACTTCAGGATGAGTCACGCTTCCGAGTCTAATCACCACCCACATTTGACACGTGGCTTCCGCCTAGATCAAAGGCCCAAACCCTAATCTCATTCTTCATATGATTTTGCATATCCAAGTTACTTTTCTACGACAGAACATTTTATTATAAGTTTTATAACAGTATTGTTGGATTTTGGTTCCCTGATAGACTAGTGGTTGGGGCGCAACGCTCTCGCTGCTGCAGCTGTGGTGCTTGTTCGTTTTATATTGAAAAGAGAAGACTAATAAGAGGATATATATTTCTCAATGTGAAATTTATTATGCATTAATGTATCAAAATTAGCATGTGCACATGGATCTCCACTGTTTAGGATAAACAGGAAAGACTGTCCTCAACTGGTTGGTATACAATATTTGTATGAAAAAGTGCTACTATCTGATTGGTCCAAAATTGTTGGGGAGAAGCTGTGGTTTAAACTTAACTCTCCCGTCATTGGTCCCCCATTCTGATCCGATCTCGTCCCTGGCGCGACCTTGTCCTGAAACAGACACTTTGCACAGCCCATAACGCTTCTTAGTATCTTATCAAACCTCAACTCCCCTGGCTTCAGGGCTCAGAGGGAATAATGGGCTCTTTTTTGGAAATGGCAACAAATCTAATGAAAACCTGTGGGATGATTAGTCCTTGGAAAACCACTCAGTGTACCAGACTTATGATGTTGCATTAGTGTTTCAGTAACTCACACAGCAAATATTTGACCAGTGGTTAAGTGAACACATAGTGATATTCATAACTATATAAGCATATCTGTGACATATAAGTATGTAAACTTATGTGTGTTATAAAATAAAACCATTCTTAAGTGCATAAAATAAAAATCACCCTAACACAGCCTGGGTTCAAGTCAGGGTTGCGTCAGGAAGGGCATCCGGCGTAAAATACGTGCCAAATATCAACATGCGAATCGTCAGTGTGATGATTCGCTGTGGCGACCCCTAATGGGAAAAAGCTGAAAGTGACATTCAACAGTATTATTGGATTCTATTTGGGTTTCCCACACTGGGGAATATAACAGAAGGCCTGCATGCCATAAAGTCATCTTTGTAACAGCGCCATGACAGACCAGGCATGACGCTTCAGAGGGGTTTTATGAGGATGGTCCAATGCACATAGGCTGATAGATGCAGAGAGGATCCTCTCTCTTGCTCAATTCACAGGGTTTAGTTCATCACCAATAGATTAGTTGGATGAAAAAAGAAGTTCTTTTTTTTTTTTTTTTTTTTTTTTTTTTTTTAAACAGCTGAAGCTAATGTTTCACAGGCAACACTGTTTTGGTCTATATGTAACTGAATTAACTCTCTCTTTTCTTTAATTATTACTGGGATACATTAATTCTCTTGACCATTGGGAAAGATGGCTGTTTCACGCCAACATAGTTTCAGTCAATGAATCTAATAATTTTACAATAAAAATCCATCCATACTAGATCTGATTAACCTCTCTGTATTAACTGTTTATGTTCCACAGGCTTTTAAAGTTGCAGTAATTAAACCTCTATTCAAAAAGCCTACTCTTGACCCAAGTGTCCTAGCTAATTATAAACCAATATCCAATCTCCCGTTTATTTCTAAAATTCTGGAAAAAGCTGTTGCAAAGCAGTTATGTGACCACTTGCACAAGAATGATTTGTTTGAGGATTTTCAGTCAGGTTTCAGTCATAGTACAGAAATTGCATTGGTGTGTCAGGGCCGCTCGGCGGCCGCTGCCTCTCCTCCGCCTTTCTCTCCTCTG